CTTTCCGCGCAGCCGTTTTTGTTTCCAATCTGAAGTGCTAAAGCTCTTGATTGGTGTTTCTTCCTTACAGTATGGATATTACGCAGGTTCTTTTAAATGCTCAGTCTCCTGATGGAAATGTCAGAAGGTTGGCGGAGGAAAACTTGAAGCAGCTTCAGGATTCCAACTTTCCGGCATACCTAGTTTCCTTGTCCCTGGAGCTTGCGAATCCGGAAAAGCAGACAGATTCTCGGCGGCTTGCTGGTCTCATTCTGAAGAACTCTCTCGACGCGAAGGAGTCTACTAGGAAGACCGAGTTTATTCAACGTTGGATTGCTCTAGATGCTGCTATCAAGGGACAGATCAAGGCCGCTCTTCTCGCAACCCTTGGATCACCAGTCCAAGATGCTCGCCATACATCGGCTCAGGTTATTGCTAAGATCGCTGCCATTGAGCTTCCACGGAATGAGTGGCCTGAACTCGTCGTAGGCTTGCTCGGTAACATGGGATCGCCAACCCAACCGCAGCCAGATCACCTGAAAGAGAGCACTCTTGAAGCTCTGGGATTCGTTTGTGAGGAGATCGCCGGGACTGACTCTCTGGCTCAAGAGCAGGTCAACAGTGTGTTGACTGCTGTTGTGCAAGGGATGAACAAGACGGAGCCGAACAACGATATCAGGCTGGCTGCTACAAGAGCACTCTCCAACGCTCTTGAATTCGCGCAAACCAACTTCGAAAACGAGGTGGAGCGGAACTACATTATGACGGTCATCTGTGAAGCGTCGCTGTGTCCTGACGTGAGGGTTCGGCAAGCTGCATTTGAGTGCCTGGTGGCCATCTCGTCGACCTACTACTCGAAGCTCGCGCCGTACATGAACGACATTTTCCAGATCACGGCCAAGGCGACGAGAGAAGACCAGGAACCCGTTGCGCTTCAAGCCGTGGAGTTATGGTCGTCGATCTGTGACGAGGAGATCGAGCTACAGGAAGAGTACACGGCGGACTCTGAGGTCACGAATTTCAATTTTATTAAGCAGGCTCTTCCGGCGCTCGTTCCTATGCTGCTGGAGACCCTGACGAAACAAGAGGAGGGTCAGGATTCGGATGAAACGGCTTGGAATCTGGCCATGGCTGGAGGTACCTGCTTGGGTCTGGTCGCCAGAACGGTCGGGAATGATATCGTTCCGCTAGTCATGCCGTACGTCCAGGAGAACATCAGCAAGCCGGAATGGAGAAACAGGGAAGCTGCGACGTACGCGTTTGGATCTATCCTCGAGGGTCCTGATACGGAGCAGCTGGTACCTCTGGTGAACAGCGCGCTGGGGTTCATGCTGAATGCGATGAAGGACGAGAATGCGCATGTGAAAGACACAACAGCATGGACTCTCGGCCGGATCTTTGAGATCGTGCACGGATCTTCACCAGAGAACCCGATTATTAATGCGACGAATCTCCCAGCCATCCTGGCTGTCCTGATCGAGAGCCTCAAGGACGTTCCGAATGTGGCCGAGAAGGTGTGCGGAGCGATCTACTTCCTCGCGCAAGGGTCGGAAGGCAGCGAGGGAGCGCTGTCCATGACTCCGTATTTCCAGCCGCTCATCACGGCGCTGCTGGCTACGGCCGACAGGGAGGACGCGTCGGACTCGCGGCTGAGATCGTCGGCGTACGAGACGCTGAACGAGATCGTGCGGTGCTCCGGGGATGACACGGCGGCGACGACGGCGCAGCTGACGCCGGTGATCATGGAGAAGCTGGCGCGGACCATGGACATGCAGATTATCTCCACGGACGACCGCGAGAAGCAGAGCGAGCTCCAAGCGCTGCTGTGCGGCGTGCTCCAGGTAAAAGCTGCTCGCCTTTCTGGCGTTTTCTTGCGTGTGCTCTCAGTTTGACTCTGTTTCACGCTTTTGCTGGACAGATTAGGTTTTCCTAGTGCAAGAAGTTGACTCCATGTTTCTGCTGTTCCGTTTTCCTTGCCAAAACAGGTGATCATTCAGAAGCTGGGAGGTAACGACACGACCAAGACGGGAGTGACACAGTACGCCGATCAGATGATGGCTCTCTTCCTCAGAGTCTTCGCCTGCCGCAATGCCACGGTGCACGAAGAGGCCATGCTCGCCATTGGAGCCCTTGCGTACTCCACAGGTATGACTTCATCACTAGGACCTGAATCACTCACGCTCCGTTATGAATTGAATGCCGGTGCTTAGATTCCGTGTCATTTGGCCTTGGTTCTGACGGGAATGGGGTTGGAAATTTCTGAAGGGAAGCTGATGTCGTTTTTCTTCTGCGTTGCTGCTGCATGATTGTTGAATGCCGCGTGGTTGTGCTGCAGGCCCCGACTTTGGCAAGTACATGCCCGAGTTCTATCGCTACCTGGAGATGGGTCTGCAGAACTTCGAGGAGTACCAGGTGTGCGCAGTAACTGTAGGCGTGGTGGGCGACATCTGCAGAGCGCTGGACGAAGCCGTGTTACCCTACTGTGACGGCATAATGACGCAGCTGCTCAAAGACCTCTCCTCGGACCAGCTCCACCGCAGCGTGAAGCCGCCTATCTTCTCCTGCTTTGGGGACATTGCGCTGGCTATTGGGGAACACTTTGCTAAGTATCTTGCTTACGCGATGCCGATGCTGCAGAGCGCGGCGGAGCTGTCGGCGCAGCAGGGGATGAATGACGTGTGGGACGAGGTGGTGGAGTACAACAACCAGCTGCGCGCGGGGATCTTTGAGGCGTACTCAGGGATTTTCCAGGGGTTCAAGGCGACGAAGCCGGAGCTCATGGCGCCGTACGCGGAGCACATCCTGCTGTTCATCGAGAATGTGTACCTGGACAAGCAAAGGTGCGTCGTTTGGGGAGATGGGGTGGGGAAGGGTGGGTAGAGAGACATACCTGATGGCTGGGGTGTTTGGAAATAACACACGATGGATGAGTCTTAGTGGTGTTCATTGAAAAAGGGTACATTTGAACGAACTAAGGTGCGTCGCCTGGGGAACGGGTAATTTGTGATGGGTGGGGTGGTTGAAAATGACACACAATTCATGGCTCTTTATGGTGTCCATTGAGAATGTGTACGTGGCCAAGCAAAGGTGCGTCTCCTGGGGGTAGGGATTGGACTGGCATGTGATGACACACAGAGTTTTTCGGAAATGGGCTGTGATTGGAACGAGCAAGAGCCATCTCATGGCAAAACTTCAAGTGAGTGGATGTACGGGGGGTGTTTGAGTGAGGGCTTGGGGTGTACAAGGGATCTTTTAACCAATAACCAGGTCTCTGGGTGTATGAGGCCGGTATGATGCCTATGTGTGTGAGTTAACTCTTGGACTGGTGCCAAGCGTGAGGGATTGGAGGCTAGGTGTTGGGTGGCGAGGAGTGTGCTTGGATGTCCACTGTCACCAATTATGACTTGCTGCTGACTGAAACATATTTTGACCTTATCTGGGTGTTTGACAATGCAGGGATGAGATTGTGACCAAGGCTGCAGTTGGTGTTTTGGGAGATTTGGCTGACACTCTCGGAGTCGCTGCTGCTCAGCTTTTTGCCACCCACCGCTTCCACCGGGAGTTCATTGAGGAGTGCTTGAACTCAGACGAATCCATTAAGGAAACAGCAGAATGGGCGCAGAGCAGGATTGCAGCCATCACAGCCGCTTCGAGTTGATAGGGTGGATGGGTTTGGGTGCTCGTTCTGACATCACGGTCGTGCGGGTCTGGAAAACTTCAGGTCTTGGTGTTGTCATGACAGCTTACACTTAGGGTTTGTCGAGTTGTCAAGTCGTGATGTCATGTGCATTGCAGTATGACAGTCTGCTGCTTTGGTCTAGTCCTCGTCAGTGCTTCACTGTCAGAAAACTTAGGTGTTAGGTCGGCCAGGGCCACTGTTTGAGTACTGGAGTCTGTCATGTAGGTGCATGGGGTCCAGTATGCTAGGAATGTGGAGTATCTGGTCAAGTGTGTCATGTCCATGCATGCTGTCCATTATTTGTTGAAGTGTTCCCATTGAGTCAGTTCACAAAATGGTATTCCTGATGTCCATGATTCATGTGACGTGTGAAATGAGGAGAAACATGTCACAGCTTGAATCCCAGCCGATTTGCCAATTAAGGGGAGGTTAGGTTCTACTGTCTAACCTATTTAACTGATAAGGTCCATCTCACTCAATATTCTAACCATTTGCTGACTTTTTGTCACTGTGTAATGATTTGATTTTGATCGGGCAAACGCGTTAGTCCAAACATGAAGCCTGAGGCTCACGGCTGGTCACGGCTCACCTCCTGTTCAGTCAGTGAACTTTCGAACAGTATTATAGCTCCACCACTTTCAATCGTTTGTTACCAGGCTGGACATATGTACACGAACTGTAAACGAGGACTCGTAACCCTCCTCCTCACAACCACACTAGCCCCGTTGCTCCAGGGTTTCGCCGAACAACGCCCTCTAGTCTCCCCTCCCCATCGATGTTCCCAAGGGCCTCTTTCCTGTCTGTTCTTGGAGGCAAGCTTCACCAACCTAACTGCTTGCGTCGTCAGTGGTATGTAGGAATCGCGTAGTAGTTGCATCTCTCCGTGACTTTAGGGACTTCGCTAGCTTATAATGGACGTTTTCTGTTAGTGTTGCAGCGTGACGTCAGAGCCGTTTTAATTCTTGTTTACAGTGGCGTTTGAAGTGTAAGGACGTAGTTTCCTTTTTTCCTCGGAGGAATCTATTTTGGCGGTTTTCCGAGTGCATGACAGGCTTGGGAGGTCGATAATGGCTGGAGGTGATCCAGAACCCGAGCCTGCCGCGGTAGATGCCGCGGAGGAGAAGTTAAGATTGGTTGTGAAACATGGTCAGCAGACGCATCAACTGATGATGTCGCCGGGATGCATTGTCAAAGAGTTAATGGAGACATTGGAAGGGTTAACAAATGTGCATTCCAGGGGTCAGAAGCTTATATACAAAGGTGCGTCTTTCACGGTCAGATTGGCTATTGCGAGGTTTATGAATGCGCTGACGCCTAACTAACTCTGTCGCGATATTTGCAGGGAAGATTTTGACCCCTGATATGTCGTTTGAGGAGGCGAAGATTACCAACAATGCGAAGATTATGCTCATGGCAACGGCTGGAGTGCATCAAGGGGTGAGTGACTTACTTCGGTATCATACCTATCCACTTACCTCGCCACCGTACCTCGCCACCTTGCCTCGTTATTGTACCTCGTTACTTACGTCGCTACGATTCAGTACGTCCGCGAATCTTGAATTAAGAATGCGTCGCGTGGTTGTATTGCGTGAAATGGCGTTCCGCTTTTCCAGGCTGGTGGCAACCATTACACTCTCGGACAATCAGCAAGCCACAGATACGGCAGAGGACTGCAACGGTCGGTTGCAGCGCCATCGCCGGTCGCTCTGGGGCAAGAGAAGGCCAGACAACGGATGTGGGTGCAGACAGGAATCGTGTCTTTAAGAGATAGTAACTTGCAGGTACGCGCGCGGTCCGGTTAGCAGCCTTGTACATTCCCCCTCGTGTCTTCCACATCTCTCCTCCCCCTTCCCCCCCGCTCCATCCAACCCCCAACACACGGACAGCGGGTATTCCCATTTTTACCCACCTACCCAAACACGCACGCGCACGCACACCCGTTGCACAAGCGCGCACGCGCTCACGCACATGCACCACGCTGTCAGTGCCGCAGTCGCGCATGCACGTGCGGTCTCATGCGCGCGCGCACGCACGCACGCACCCGCGCTCGCGGCACTGACTCGCGCTCGCTCATGCTAGCGTATGCGGAATTCGCACTCGCATGTGCGCTCACACTGGCACTCATTCGCATTCGCATTCCCGTTCGCACCCACCTTCGCATTCGCTCTCGCACACGCGGAGACAATCACGCATTTTCCTCAAGAATCGCGTTTGTTGGGTCTATGTTGTTACTGAGTAAACTATACTCCTTACTGGGTAGACATGGGTCGCTCCAAGCCAATCTTACTCCTCTCCCTCTAGATTAAAGTTTTGTTTTTCCTTATTCATCTTCCACGATTCGATCTGACCCCTTTCTCTCCCTGGTTTCAGGTTGTTCCGGGGGCTGTGTGGGTTGCGGGTCCCGCTCTACGTGTTCTGGATCTGGGTGGCAACAGCCTGAGGATCTTCCCGCCAGCTGTAACAGCTTTGACCAACCTCCAGGTCAGACATGCATATGCCTTGTCCTAATGAGAAACTAATATGTTCTTCCACTGATTTGCTCCACTTTTGGTGCTTATGGTGATGTTTCTGTAGAATCAGTATATGATTTATGCAAACCTAATCATACGCTGACTGTATTTGTTGTGTTTGTTCGGTAACAAGTGCTCAATTAAACGGGGGATGCCGGCCTGATGGTGATGGTTGGTTGGTTGCAGAGGCTACGTCTGAGCCACAACTCGCTGACAGAAAACACCATTGCCTGGGAAGCCCTGACTCGCCTCCCGAACCTCATGGCTCTTGCGCTCGACCACAACCAGTAAGTGTTCTCCAAGTTTCAGGCTGACTGGGTTCATCAGACTAATTTTAGGGTTTCGTCTAATCGCCTGTTCGACCAAAATCTGTTCGGGATAAGAGGTGCAGAGCACTTGATTTTTATTATACTACCAGCTGGCGCCCCCTTGCAACGCCTCTTCGCTAATCCCTCATATCTGAGTCATACACCCCCTCAACCTGCCCCCTGCCACCTTCCTGCCCCTGCCACCTTGGTTTGATCGAAGCCCTGACTCTGTTGCAGCATACGGGTGGTTTCGTGCAACATTGGACGACTTTTGAGACGTCTCAAAAGCCCTGACTCTGTTGCAGCATACGGGTGGTTTCGTGCAACATTGGCAACCCTCTGGCCCTTATTGAACGATCTCCTCCTATATTCCTGGTTATGTGTTGCAGAATAGGGCTCATTCCGTCCATCATCGGCCAGCTCTCCTCTCTGAAGCGCCTTGCTCTCAGCCACAACGCCCTCTCCTCCCTGCCGCCAGAGATTGGCCAGCTTAAGAACCTAGAGTGGATTGATGCTGCTCATAACAGGTGATAGTTGCCAGGTGGCGGCATACATTGGTGTCCAGGTGTCAAGGTGACACCTTTCTCTTTTTTTAGTCATCCACTTGTTATCTGGACTGCTCAGGGATTATTTTGCAGCTTGCCTCTTCTTAAAGTAACTACTGAAGCGAATTTGGCATTCTCTCGTCTGTCTTCTTTTGCAGGTTGGGGATCATCCCATCTTCCATGGCAGAATGCACGTCTCTTGCAGAGGTGCTGTTGATCCCTTGCCCAGAATAAGCTATTTTTAACCACTTCCCGTTTCTGCCTTTTCCTGTTGCTTCACGTATAAATGTTTATCTTAGCCTCACTGTGGTTTGTGACACCAATGCTGACCTGCAGGCCAATTTCTCTGCAAACTTCATCTGCCACGTGCCAGCTGCTCTGGGTAGACTCACCAATCTGAAGGTAAGTTGCTACCTCTGAGGCTATGAAATGGTTGGGTTGGATTGGAGGAGAGGTGGGGTGAGTAAACAGAGCGTGGTGAGGGGGGAGAGAGAAGGTGGGGTGCGTATAATGTTCGATGGTTAACGAATCGTTTGTATTTGTCTACTGTGTCATTTTTCTGACGTGCAGATTCTGCTGCTGAGCAACAATGCAATCAAGAATTTTCCCTCAGAGGTGCTAACAGGGTGCACGGAGCTCTTCACTCTCTCCCTGCATGGGAACCAAATCACCATTGACCAACTGCGCGAGGTATGTCCTATCCTTGGTCCCCTCAGAGGGTTCATATAGCCATTCTCTCATCCTCACAGGGTGTACGGATTTGTTCACTCTCTCCCTGCATGGAAAGCTGATTATCACTGACCAATTGCGCGAGGTATTTCAACCTTGGAAGCTTCAGGGTTCAGGATCATCTCCTGAGTTGCAAAGAGCTTCTCACGTTTCTCATTTTATGGAATCTCTTTCAATTGCGATTGCCCTACTGTGTGATGTGATATACACCAGCGCGTTTCATTCGATGTCGAGGGTGCGCTATACGGTTTTTACAGTCTCCCTTTTGAGGTGCCACAAATGTCTTCTACACCATTTGCACATGGCAAATTGAGAAGAGTGGGATATGATGAGTACGAGTTTTATTGCTTCTCATGCTCTCTTACTTTTTTAACGCCTTCGTTTTTTTGTCATCCATCCATCATTTATGCTTGCCAGATTGAGGGGTGGGAGGAGTACGACGAGAGACGGCGAGCCAAGTACAGCAAGAGGCTTGAGTTGCAGGCACTGGCCTCGTCAAGTGGGTTTGATGAAGGTGCTGATGCCCACCTGTGGCACAACTGGTGATCTGATTTTCATGTATCACCCTGCTATGGTACGGGATACAAGGACCTTGATTTTTCCATGGAAACTGTCCATTCTGACAGAAACATGGTGGTGGGTGAATTTGGGGGTGCATGGAGAGACCACTGGGAGCGACTGGTGGTCTTGGGAACCTAAGGTAGTTCCACCAGAAATAATGAGAGTACCGTCGTGCTTGAATCGGCAGCTGGGCGTTCTGAGACAGCAAGTTACCGTGCCTGGAAGATTACTTGAGACTTCACATTGTTCCAGCATTCGGCCACTACACACCAGCATGGTGTATCCTGTTCTGAGTGTGTCACGGGTTCCTGGCTCTCTCCACAAGCATAGCTTCAACATTTTTTTAGCACACATACCGTATTCTCCTGGATAAAACACCCCCCCGTAATTGTACACCCCCGGGTAGCTAATACGGGGTGGGTGTTATATCCGACCCCGTTAGTACTATAACCCCCTTTTTGGGGTGATTCTCTATAACACCCCCCTTTTCTTATAGATTCCTATTATAGCTGTTATCGAGTCCGATTCCTTATGGGAGGATATCGCGAAAATCACTCCCTAAAAGAAATTTCGCATGTAATTTTACTTAGAATCAGCCGAGATATCCCCCCTCCCACAATCTCGCTGTCGCCACGCTGGTGAATCCCAAAATCTCGCTGTCGCCACTCTGGCGAATCTTCCACTGCAAGTAGTCCAAGAGGTGAAGTGGCCCAAGTGGCCCACAATATCCTCGTACTCGGTTTTGCGGTACTGATCAGCAATCTAGAAGTGAAGTGACACCCCACATTTTGTTTCACATCATTTCTGCTTCATAAAAAATATACAATATAATAAGACCCGGGTATTATACAGGATTTTCCGTTGAGGAGACCCCCCCCCTTTTTTTCCGGTGGTTTTCATGATACCCTAGGGTGTTTTATCCGGGAGAATACGGTATCTTCTACATCTGAACACACTAAAGCATTTCTTCAACATTTGAACAAATGAATAATCCTCTCCTCTCCAGTTCATCACAAAGAGGCGGCGTAAGAGGGCTGCTGCCACTGCAGCTACAGCAATGCCTGGAAAAGCGAGAGTATGTGTCTTCCTAAAAAGCCTCTAGTCCTTTGCATCAACACGCTGGTCAGGCAAATGCTGGACATGGCATGAGAGGTGAGGGCAGATGGTAAGCAGAACCCTTAACACATCCGCCACCACACTCCCCTCAGCACCCGCACACACTGATTGCCACCGATGCAGATGCTAGCTAGGACAAAACACGCGAGACAAGGACTCCTCCTCAGGAGCCTCAACGTTCTTTGAGACAAGACGTTGGCGAGACAGAAGGGTGGATACGGCATGTGAGGGCAGATGGTGGTGCAGAGCTTAACATATCCACCACAACTTCCCTCAGCACCCGCACCCTCTGATTGCTTCCACAGGTGCCACTGCTGCTGCTGCTGCCGCCGCTGCTCTTGCTGCTGCCGCCGCTGCTCTTGCTGCTGCCACCGCCGCTATAACCGCCGCCGCTGTTGCCACCTCTGCTGCTGCCGGCAGCACCACCACTGTTCCCGCCAAGTCTCAAATCAGCCCCATCCTCCCAAAAGAGGCACTCCTTTTCATCTGACAGCCACGACAGCAGCGACTGGAAGCGCAAGAGCATGGTGGCACCGCCTCTTCTCGGATCAGCCCCATCCTCCCAGAAGAGGCACTCCTTTTCATCTGACAGCCACGACAGCAGCGACTGGAAGCGCAAGAGCATGGTGGCACCGCCTCTTCTCGGATCAGCCCCATCCTCCCAGAAGAGGCACTCCTTTTCATCTGACAGCCACGACAGCAGCGACTGAAAGCGCGAGAGCATGGCCCCCACAGAGCCTGCTAGGCGGAGCTGGGAGGGCAGACTATTGCTAATATGGTGCCCCTATTTCAATGCAAAGAGACATTGGCGAGGCAGATACTGGAGATGGCATGCGAGGGCAGATGGTGGCGTAGAGCCCTCAGCACATCCACCACCACTCCCCTCAACACATCCACCACCACTCCCCTCAGCACCCGCACCCGCTCATTGCTGTTGGTGCTGATGCTGCTGCTGCTGTTGCTAGCGCTGCTACCACCTCTGGCAGCAGTGACTGTGAGCGTGAGGCCCTGGGTCCCTCCTATGGATGGAGCCTTTATGCTAGTGCACCAAGACATTGGCGAGACAGATGGTGGAGACAGCATGCGAGGGCAGATGGTGGCGTAGAGCCCTCAGCACATCCACCACCACTCCCCTCAACACATGCACCCGCTCATTGCTGCTGCTGCCGCCGCTGCTATTGCCACTGCTGCTGCTGCCACCACTGCTGCTGCTGCCACCTCTGCTGCTGCCGGCACCACTGCTGCTGCCGGCACCACCACCACTGTCCCCGCCAAGTCTCGAATCAGCGCCATTCTCCCAGAAGAGGCACTCCTTTTCATCTGACAGCCACGACAGCAGCGACTGGAAGCGCGATACTATGGCTCCCACAGAGCCTGCTAAGCCGCGCTGGGAGAGGAGAGGAGGGAGGGTGTGCGGCAGGAGGAAGACTGCAGCTGTGGGGCTGGTGGGGAGGAGGAGGCGGTCGGGGGAGAGACGTGCGAGCATGAGGGAGAAGAGCTGCAGGGCCTGCTTGGGAAGGAAGAGCGGGGCATGAGGGGATAGAAAGGAGGGGAAAGAGTGGATAGAAAGAGTGCTCCTCTGGTGCTGCTGCCACTCCACTCGCTGTGAGTGTCTAGCTTTGAGGTGCCAAAAAGGGAAACACGCACCATCCAGAGGAGCACAGCACATTGTTTTATGAATTGAAGAAGCGTACCTTTTTCTGCACAAGTATCATACCGTCCACGGGTGGCGAGCGACATGGATGGAATCGAGTGTGTCGAGGAGGAATGGCAAGCGATGCTCCTCCTGTGCTGCTCATGTGAACTCTGTGCTCCTGAGTGTGATGAACGACGTACCGTCCACGGGTGGCGAGCGACTTGGATGGAGTCGAGCGTGTCGAGGAGGAATGGCAAGCGATGCTCCTCCGGTGCTGCTCATGGGAACTCTGTGCTCCTGAGTGTGATGAACGACGTACCGTCCACGGGTGGCGAGCAACTTGGATGGAGTCGAGCGTGTCAAGGAGGAACGGCAGGCGATGCTCCTCCGGTGCTGCTGCCACGGCACAGGCTAGGTCCACCAGTAGCCACGTGTAGGTTGCTGTGAGGAAGAGGGAGAAAGCAAGTGGAGCGGTCAGATAAGCCCATAGATGAGGAGAGGAGCGCTGCTGCCACGGCACAGGCTAGGTCCACCAGTAGCCACGTGTAGGTTGCTGGTGAAAGGGGGAAAAGCAAAAACGGGGGGGAAGAAGGGGGGTGAAGAAACACACATACGTAGGGAGTGGGTGCTGCTGCTGCCACTGCACTGGCTCACTCCACTCCACCAGTAACCACGCGTAGGCTGCTGCGAGGGGTCAGAGTGGGGAGAAGGGGAAAGAGAGTGGACAGATGGAGAGGCGGAAACTCAGGGAGATGTGTTTACAGGATAAGGTAAATATTTGCTGCATGCCTTTGCTGTGCTGCATGCCTGTTGCAGATCTTCACACCACATTATTCAAACGAGGGAGGTTCATGATGTGGCAGCTCATGATGTTCTCACGCCAAGCTGACCTGGCAGTGGGTGCTCGCAGAGAAACACGCGGCACGGCGCCACGTCAGCAAGGGACAGGTGGCGCGGGTTGATTCGCAGGAGGTGCAGGCGCATGGCGACTGCACGGACTGCTGCTGGGGAGAAGGCGAGGCGGGGGAGGTGGCTACTGGGGGAGGTGAAAGGTGCAGGTGATGCTGCTGCTGCTGCTGATGCTGATGCTGCTGCTTCGCCTGCTGATGGTGTGGGAATCTTGAGCATCCCCAGCACGTCTTCTCTCCGCATCACTCCAAGACAGTCCACCGCCGCCCGCCACTCGGGACTCTCGTCCAGCGGCCAGCTGTCGCCCTCCCATTGGCCGCTCGCCCGCACTGCAGCCCTCGAATCCTTCCTCAAGTCAGAAACTTGAGTTTGATTTTGACTTTGACTTTGACTATGGCTTTGACTTGGGGGTAACCGTACGGGGCGCGGCAGGGGGAGGGATCTCAAGAGCTCACCCACACACGCCCATGCCATTGCCTCCACCATCCCACCCCCAAACTGCACCCCAATGCTGTTACTGGAATATGCATCCCCACCACCCCCACTTCTGCCACCACCACCACTACCAGCAGCATCAGCAGCAGCACCAGCAGCAGCACCAGCAGCAGCACCATCAGCATCTCGCCTCCATGATACAGACGCATCAGCATCAGCAGCGGCACTTGCACCAGCACCAGCACCAGCAGCAGCACCAGCAGCATCACGCCTCCATGAAACAGACGCATCAGCCCTAGAATGTCCCGCTGAGGCCTGTGTTTCTTCCGCTGCCTTCTCTGGTCTATCTCGAGAGCAAGAAATGGATAGAATGTCCTGTAGTCCCATCCAAGCCCAGACCCTCACAGCAGCAGCTGCTGCTGCAGCCTCCCCTGCACCCACTGCTGCCGCCGCTTCTTTTGCTTTTGCGCTAGCTGCTGGTGATGCTAAAGCAAGTGCGGCTGCTGCTGGCGTGGGCTTTTTCCGGAACCACTCTGAAGTGGCCTCTTCTTTACCTTCCTCTGATCCTACGCCTGATCCATCAGCAGCAGCAGCAGCAGCAGCAGCAGCAGCAGCAGCACCACCACCACCACCACCACCACCACCAGCTGCAGCAGCACCAGCAGCGGCGGTACGAGCAGCGGCGGAGGCAGCAGCGGCACCAGAAGCAGCAGCCATGTACGTTCTCACCAGCCCCATCACATCCCTCAGAAGCTTCCGGGATCTTTCCTGGGAGAACAGCCGCACCACGGCCGCCAGGTGTCGCGACAGCAGCGCTCGCTGCACCGCCGGCGCCAGCTGGACGAGCCTGCTGACGTCAGCGGTGAGGTCATCGAGGAAGGGGATGATCCCGCGGTGGGCGGCGAAGTGGAGGCACGCACAGCGTAGATTGTCTGCATCTGCCGTTGCTCCTGCTGCTGCTGAAATCCCTCCTGCTACTGATGCCTCTACAGACCCTCCTCCCAGTGGCCCTGCTGCCGCTGCTGAAGCAGCAGCAGAGGGAGGGAGGAGCAGCAGGGCAGCATGGGAGGCGGGAATAGCCCCGGAGGAGGCTCTGCGGAGGAAGCGGTGGAGGATGGAGGCCCAGTCTAAAGAGGGGATTCGCGGGGCGTTGGAGAGGAGGGCCAATGAGGATGCAACAGCTGGCACGCTGGCAGTATCCTGGTTATTGGGTAAAAAGGAGGGAGAATGGGAGGAGAGGATGGGAGGGGACGGGCGAGGGGGGGTGCAAGGGCGGGAAGAATTATATTGGGAATTCTCAAGTGAACAATTTTCTAGGCACCTCAAAAACCGGCCCGGCGGAGGAAGCAGTGGGGGATGGAATGCCGGTCTGAAGAGGGCTTTTGAGACGTCTCAAAAGTCGTCTACTTACACGCAGTGGGGAATGGAGGGCCGGTCTAAAGAGGGCATTCGAAAGGCGTGGGCGAGGAGGGGCGTGGGCGAGGAGGGCTCATGAGGACGCGAGGGGGGGGAGGGGATTAGAGGAGTGCAGTATGATTCTGATGTGTGCAAGGACTTCGACCTCCCACACTCTCCCTCTATTCCCCACACGCACTCACTCACTCACTCACTTCCTCGCAGCCCCCCATCACTCATCCATACACTGTCTGTGTTCCACTGACCACACCCGCCTACCCTCAGAGCCCTCACCCACAGGCTACCCTCTCCTGCCCCCACGTGCAGACTTCCCTCCAACAGCCAAGAGGCCAGCAGCCGCACCACACTGTCAGCAGGCTGCAGCACACGTGACATGACAACACTCATTCGCCCATAGCGTGTGATGAGTCGACTAGAAAATCCACACTGTCAGCAGCACACGTGACATGACAACATTCATTCGCCCGTAGCCCGCCCAAGAACACTCACGTGTAGACTTCCCACAGGCTGCCCGCTCCTGCCCCCACGTGCAGACTTCCCTCCAGCAGCCAAGACAATTTTTGAGGCGCTTCAAAAACCTCGTCCACTTGTAGACTTCTCTTCAGCAGCCCGCAGCCCCAGCAGGTGCATCCCACTGTGAACAGCACACGTGGCATGGCAACATTCATTCGCCCATAGCCCGCCCCAAAAACACTCACGTGTAGACTTCTCTTTAGCAGCCAAGAGCCCAGCAGGTGCATCCCACTGTGAACAGCACACGTGGCATGGCAACATTCATTCGCCCATAGCCCGCCCCAAAAACACTCACGTGTAGACTTCTCTCCAGCAGCCAAGAGCCCAGCAGGTGCACTACACTGACAGCAGGTGCACTACACTGACAGCAGGTGCACTACACTGACAGCAGGTGCTCTACACTGACAGCAGGTGCACTACACTGACAGCAGGTGCACTACACTGACAGCAGGTGCACTACACTGACAGCAGGTGCACTGCACTGACAGCAGGTGCACTACACTGACAGCAGGTGCACTACACTGACAGCAGGTGCACTACACTGACAGCAGGTGCACTACACTGACAGCAGGTGCACTGCACTGACAGCAGGTGCACTACACTGACAGCAGGTGCACTACACTGACAGCAGGTGCACTACACTGACAGCAGGTGCACTACACTGACAGCAGGTGCTCTACACTGACAGCAGGTGCACTACACTGACAGCAGGTGCTCTACACTGACAGCAGGTGCACTACACTGACAGCAGGTGCACTACACTGACAGCAGGTGCTCTACACTGACAGCAGGTGCACTACACTGACAGCAGGTGCACTACACTGACAGCAGGTGCTCTACACTGACAGCAGGTGCACTACACTGACAGCAGGTGCTCTACACTGACAGCAGGTGCACTACACTGACAGCAGGTGCACTACACTGACAGCAGGTGCACTACACTGACAGCAGGTGCACTACACTGACAGCAGGTGCACTACACTGACAGCAGGTGCACTACACTGACAGCAGGTGCTCTACACTGACAGCAGGGAACTGACCCAGCAATCAATTCCCCAATACTCATTCCCCCATAGCACCCCCTCAACACTCATTCCCCCATAGCACCCCCTCAACACTCATTCCCCCATAGCACCCCCTCAACACTCATTCCCCCATAGCACCCCCTCAACACTCATTCCCCCATAGCACCCCCTCAACACTCATTCCCCCATAGCACCCCCTCAACACTCATTCCCCCATAGCACCCCCTCAACACTCATTCCCCCATAGCACCCCCTCAACACTCATTCCCCCATAGCACCCCCTCAACACTCATTCCCCCATAGCACCCCCTCAACACTCATTCCCCCATAGCACCCCCTCAACACTCATTCCCCCATAGCACCCCCTCAACACTCATTCCCCCATAGCACCCCCTCAACACTCATTCCCCCATAGCACCCCCTCAACACTCATTCCCCCATAGCACCCCCTCAACACTCATTCCCCCATAGCACCCCCTCAACACTCATTCCCCCATAGCACCCCCTCAACACTCATTCCCCCATAGCACCCCCTCAACACTCATTCCCCCATAGCACCCCCTCAACACTCATTCCCCCATAGCACCCCCTCAACACTCATTCCCCCATAGCACCCCCTCAACACTCATTCCCCCATAGCACCCCCTCAACACTCATTCCCCCATAGCACCCCCTCAACACTCATTCCCCCATAGCACCCCCTCAACACTCATTCCCCCATAGCACCCCCTCAACACTCATTCCCCCATAGCACCCCCTCAACACTCATTCCCCCATAGCACCCCCTCAACACTCATTCCCCCATAGCACCCCCTCAACACTCATTCCCCCATAGCACCCCCTCAACACTCATTCCCCCATAGCACCCCCTCAACACTCATTCCCCCATAGCACCCCCTCAACACTCATTCCCCCATAGCACCCCCTCAACACTCATTCCCCCATAGCACCCCCCCAAAACTCACCCACAGGCTGCCCGCTCCTGCCCCCACGTGTAGACTCCGCTCCAACAACCAAGATGCCAGCAGCCGCACCACACTATCAGCCGGGAATTGATTCAGCAACCACTGCTTCTCCTCTCCCCCTCCTCCCCTCCTCCCTCCACTCCCACCTCCACTTCCCCCTACCCCTCTTCCTCCTCCTCCTCCTCCTCCTCCTCCTCCTCCTCCTCCTCCTCCTCCTCCTCCTCCTCCTCCTCCTCCTCCTCCTCCTCCTCCTCCTCCTCCTCCTCCTCCTCCTCCGACTCCTCCTCCCCACCCCCCGCCCTCCTCATCATCCTCATCTTCCTCCTCCTCATCCCCTTCGCCCGAGAGTTTCCGAGAAGCTTCCACGCAGAGCGCCAGCGCCCAGCCAGCCTGGCGCTTGACGCTGACGTGGCAGTCGCGCCTGTACGCCTCGACCAATGACTGCAGCGCGTCCCTGACGGACGATTGGACCGCGTCGCTCGGGGAGAAGAGCAGTGGGCCAATCACCAGGATCTGATTGGCTGCTGCTGACCTGACGCCACTGGTTGTGACAGTGGTAGCAGCGCCGGCAGCAGCAGGATTAGTTGTAGTTGTAGCACCAGCAGCAGGATTAGTTGTAGTTGTAGCACCAGCGGCAGCGGCAGGAGCAACAGGAGCAGGAGCGGAAGCAGAGATAGCAGAGGCTGAAGGAGGGTGCTGCTGTGTACGGTGGCCTGGGAGGGGGGTGAGAAGCAGAGGCGCCCCTAGCAGTGCTGCCACTGCCATGCCTGCTGCTCCCCTCACACTGCTGGGTAGCAGTCCCGCTGATGGTGCAGAATCAGTAACAAAACCAGCAGCGGCAGAAGCAGCAGGTTCAACAGCAGAAGCAGCTTTAAAACCAGCAGAAGCAGTGGCAGGAGAAGCAGCAGAGCCGGTTCCCTTCTCCCCTTTGATAGCAGCGAGCAGGGGAGAGAGGACGTCAGTGATAGCTCCAAGAGGCAAGGCAACGTCAGAGCACAGCGAGGAATGCACCATGGCAGCTAGAGAGAGCGACACTGCAGAGAGGAACACCGGGGGAGGGCCTCTAGATGCTACCCCTGCGTCTCCTCCTGCTGTTGCTGGTGTGGTGTTGGCTGCTCCAGTATAAGCATCTGCTTCGGCATAAGCATCATAAGAGTCTCGGTTTGTGGGAGCTGCAGCTGCAAAAATCTGCTGCTGCTGACCTAGATGCTGCTGGAACTGCTGGTATTGCTGCTGGTGCTGCGCGTGCAGCAGCAGCAACGCCTCTTCATCCATCACCGACCCTGCTGGTAGCTCAGGCAGCGGCAGCTGTGGCAGGGATAGCAGAGAGACGGAATCTGCTTGGGCTTGATCCGGGGGTAAGGGGAGGAGAAGAGGCTGTCGTTTCAAGTGCATTACCTCTTGAAATGTTTGCCTCAGTCCGTCGGTCCAATCTGCCATCTGTTTCTCCTCGATCCGTTCATCTTGTTCCCACTTGAACGGTCCCGAGAAGGACCCTTCCTCATCTCCCTCCTCCACTGGTATACCCCCCATTCCCTCTCTCTTTCGCATTCCCGCTCCTCCTCTCCCTCCCCCTCCACCTCCCCCTCCCCCGGCCTCTCTCCCCCCTCTCACCCCACACTCTGCGATCAAGGGCAGTGCCAGTGCAGCTGCTGCTGCGAGGACAGGTGGCGGCACGTAGCTGGCCGAGGGAGAGTCCAAGGGGGATGGCGGGGTGGGTGGGGCGATGGGGTCACCCCAGCCGTCCACTAGTGGGGGAGGTACAACTGAGGAAGGTTTGCCTGGGGAAGGTACATTCTGGTTCAATGTGAGCGAGTGAGCAAAGGCTTGAGTCCACTGGAAGAGAAGTGAGGCGAAGGAGTGAAGGAGGGAGAGGTGTGAGGAGGAAGTGGAGGAAGAAGAGGAAGAGGAGGAGGAAGAGGAAGAGGAGGAGGAAGAGGAGGTGAGGGAGGAGGTGAGAATAGCAATGCCTAACAAAGCTCCCCCCAAACCCCACTCCTCTCCCTCATCTTCCCCCACACCTACATCCCATTCACCCCTCTCCGATTCCATACCCCCCATTTTCCCTATCCCCCCCAAGCTCCCCTCCCCCTCCCCCCTTCCCCCCTCTGCCTCCCCCAGTGCTACAGTAACCGCCCGCCCCATCTCCCCAGGAAGCTTCCTCAGAACCTGCGCCAGCTCCCTTAGGGCCTGGCAGGAGGACCGACCAATCACAGTGCAGAGCGTTCGCACAGCTGTCGCTGCTGCAGCAGATGCTGAGTCAGCACTCTTGCCACTGGTGCTGCCGCTGGTGCTGGTGCTTTCTGTGGTTGACGAATGGGAGAGCGCCACCTGGCGCGCTGCGATGGTCCCTAGGGAAACAGCAGCTGCGAAGCGGAGCGAGCTGTCGGCTCCTAATTGGTTGAGAATCTGGGGCAGGAGGATGGAAGAGAGAGAGGAAGATTGGAGGAAAAAAAAAAAGTTTTGGTGTGGAACAGAAAGGGCGGAGTAAGGTGGGGGGAAAAAAACGATTGAGGTGGATCAATCAAGCGCCTTAGTAGTCAGTCATGTAAAGGCCTTATCACTAGTCGCACTTCTGAGTCGACTCACAGCTCGACTCAGGCAGGTATTCTGGTGATCCCTCTAGCACCCCTCTTACCACTTTTTCTCGTCCCCTAGCCACTTGCTCCCACCTTCCTGTTACTTCCTCACACCCTTCTGCCATTTTCTCTGTCATTCCTCCTGCCACTGCCACCTGCACTGGTGCCCGCGCTCCAGCCACTACCGCTCGCCTTGCTGCCACTACATCCCACGCTCCAGCCACTGCCGCTCGCTCTGCTGCCACTGCACTCCACGCTCCAGCCATTGCCACTCGCCCTGCAGTGGCAGCAGGGCGAGCGGCAGTGGCTGGAGCGTGGGGTGCAGTGGTAGCAGGGCGAGCGGCAGAGCCTGGAGCATGGGTTGCAGTGGCAGCAGGGCGAGCGGCAGTGACTGGAGCGTGGGATGCAGTGGCAGCAGGGCAAGCGGTAGTGGCTGGAGCGTGGGGTGCGGTGGCAGCAGGGCGAGTGGCAATGGCTGGAGCATGGAGTGCAGTGGCAGCAGAGCGAGCGGCAGTGGCTGGAGCGTGGGATGTAGTGGCAGCAAGGCGAGCGGTAGTGGCTGGAGCGCGGGCACCAGTGCAGGTGGCAGTGGCAGGAGAAATGACAGAGAAAATGGCAGAAGGGTGTGAGGAAGTAACAGGAAGGTGGGAGCAAGTGGCAAGGGAACGAAAGAAAGTGGTAAGAGGGGTGTCAGAGAATAACCATTCTGCGCACCAAGGTAAGACCTTCACCTGCTCACCAGGGTCCAGGGTATTCTGAGAATAGCCATTCTACTCACCGAGTGCTAGAGCATCCATCAGTCACACATAGCCTCACATGTGAACTGCCTTACCCTGGTGAGCAGAATGGCAATCCTGAGGCGCATGTGGGCATCCATAGCATGAAGGCACCCTCCCACAGCCGCTAGCGCTACAGCATCCGCCCACCCACTCACCGCACATGTCACCCAGACATCCATTTGAATGATTTGGCTTACCCTGGTGTGAAGAATGGCGATTTGACTTTTGAGTCGACTCAAAAGTCATTTGGCTTACCCTGGTGTGAAGAATGGCGATTTGACTTTTGAGTCGACTCAAAAGTCATTTGGCTTACCCTGGTGTGAAGAATGGCGATTTGACTTTTGAGTCGACTCAAAAGTCATTTGGCTTACCCTGGTGTGAAGAATGGCGATTTGACTTTTGAGTCGACTCAAAAGTCATTTGGCTTACCCTGGTGTGAAGAATGGTGATTTGACTTTTGAGTCGACTCAAAAGTCATTTGGCTTACCCTGGTGTGAAGAATGGCTATTCTCAGTCGCATGTGGGCATCTGTGGCATGAAGGCACCCTCCCACAGCCCCCAGTGCTAGAGCATCCGCCCACCCACTCACCGCCACCCACCCTGCACCACCCACCCCCCTCCCTTCCCTACCCACTCCCCCTCTCCTCCCCACTCCCCCTCCCCCTCCCCCTCCCCCTCCCCTTCTCTCCTCTTCCCCTTCCCCCGTCTCTTCCACCCCCCATCCCGCACTCGTCCCCCCATCTTTGAGCCTCCCTCGGAGCAGATCAGCAGCAGAGGCTACAAGGGGGTGGAGGGCGGGCGGCAAGGCTTGGCAGAGAGCGGCGAGGGCGAGAGCACTGTTCTCTGCCTGCATTGGAACACCGCTGTCGAACCCTTGGGTTACTGTTGTCCATAGCCCCCTTGCTGCTGCTGCCGGCACGTCGCCATGAGGAACAGCTCCCACTAATCCCCCTCCCCCTGCTGCTCCCCCTATCCCTGTCTCTGTGCCTCCCACTGCTGCAGCAGCTGTAGCAGCACCACCAGCAGGGGCGGCGGCGGCTGTGGCGTGCAGAAGGCGACACCTGGCGCGATACCATTGGCGCATGAAGTGGGTCCAGGCGGCGAGCGAGGAGAGCACCAGCGGGAAGAAGGCCGGGCGGCTGAGAGACTGAGAAGTTTCCAGGAAGATGCGGTGGAAGTGTGCGTCTCTTTCCTTGAGAGCCTGGGGAGGAGGGATGAATGAAGAGGGGGAGGGAGGAGGGATGAATGAAGAGGGGGAGGGAGGAGGGCGAGGGAGAGAGGGAAAACTCATTTAGTTTTTGTGTTCAGTGCACACACTTACAAATGCTCAGCAGCGAAGCACGACCTACAGAGAATCCCAACCAAGATTTAAAAACGGAAATTCCCCACAAATGCCCTGTGATTGGTTCAAATTCTCTGCACCAAACTCTCACAAAGAGATTGCACACCAGCGACGGCACACGCCTACCCCAGTCCCCACCTTCTCCAGGTCTACCCGAGCCTGCCTGGCAGCAGATGCGGCTCAAAAACAGACACCCAACAGCGACAGCACACGCCTACCCCAGTCCCCACCAGCGACAGCACACACCTACCCCAGTCCCCACCTTCTCCAGGTCTACCCGCGCCTGCCTGACACTGCCAGCAGATGCGGCTTCAAAACAGACCCCCCCCCCCCCCCCCCCCCCCCCAGGCGACAGAACACGCCTACCCCAGTTCCCACCTTCTCCAGGTCTACCCGCGCCTGCCTGACACTCCCAGCAGATGCGCCTGACAGCGGCTCTGGCGGTGGTGGCGGCACCAGCAGCAAGGCGGCAGCAGGTACATCTGGGGGAGGTTGATCAGAAAAACGGGAGAGAGGGTGAGAGAGAGAATGCAGACTTGAGGCTGCCTAGAAAATACAAGCAAGGAGGCAAGAGGTACATCTGGGGGAGATGGAAAAGGAGGGAAGGGCTAGGTGGTTTTTATTTGTTCACACGCGATTATGGGCAGAAGGCAAAGGGGGCAACGCGTGACAAAGGGCAACCTTCAAGCTGTATACTATACAGAATACGTTGATGCTTCAGCAATCAACCTTACCAAGTCCATCTTTTCCCTTGCGGCCGCCGAAGCTCTCCGGACACAGCAGCCGGGGCAGCGCCGCCAGGAGCTTGTTCGACCGCCACGTGGCGCCACCAGGCGCACCGGCTGACGTGGCAGCAGACGCCACGTCACCCTCCGCCCCCTCTCCTCCACCCACCACCACAGCCCTCCGACCCCGGGGTCGGGTCCTGTGTTGATAGTCTGCCAGTTTGGTAAGCAGGGGGAGCATGGCTTGCCGCACGGAAGGAGAGGGCTCTGAGAGGAAGGCTCGAAGCAGGTGGGTGCTGGGGTAGGGCCATGTGGTTGCCACGTCATCCACCTGTTGGGAGGGAGGATAAGGGGAGGGGAGGGAGGAGCAAGGAGAATCAGCAGAAAAAAGCTGATAGTAACTGCGGCTAGAGCCTTGGTGGTGCTGCCTCGTCAGCCAACTGACCCCGGGTCCGGGTTGTGTGGGCCGGGTCCTGTGTTGAGAGTGGGCAAGGTTGGTGTGCAAGGAGAGCATGGGTTGTCGCACGGAGGTGCAGGGCTCTGAGAGGAAGGCTTGAACGAGGTGGGTGCTGGGCCATGAGGTTGCCACGTCATCCACCTGTTGGGAGAGAAGGTGGGGAGGAGAGAGGGAGGGAGTTGTGTGGGATCCACCTATTGGGAGAGCAGGGGGAGCATGGGTTGGCGCGCAGCAGGGCAGGGCTCCGAGAGAAAGGTTCACACGAGGTGGGTGCTGGGGTAGGGCCAAGTGGTTGCCACGTCATCCACCTGTTGGGAGAGCATGGGTTGTTGCATGGCAGGGCAGGGCCATGTGGTTGCCACGTCATCCACCTGTTGGGAGAGCATGGGTTGTTGCATGGCAGGGCAGGGCCATGTGGTTGCCACGTCATCCACCTGTTGGGAGAGCATGGGTTGTTGCATGGCAGGGCAGGGCCATGTGGTTGCCACGTCATCCACCTGTTGGGAGAGCATGGGTTGTTGCATGGCAGGGCAGGGCCATGTGGTTGCCACGTCATCCACCTGTTGGGAGAGCATGGGTTGTTGCATGGCAGGGCAGGGCCATGTGGTTGCCACGTCATCCACCTGTTGGGAGAGCATGGGTTGTTGCATGGCAGGGCAGGGCCATGTGGTTGCCACGTCATCCACCTGTTGGGAGAGCATGGGTTGTTGCATGGCAGGGCAGGGCCATGTGGTTGCCACGTCATCCACCTGTTGGGAGGGCATGGGTTGTTGCATGGCAGGGCAGGGCCATGTGGTTGCCACGTCATCCACCTGTTGGGAGAGCAGTGGGAGCATGGATTGGCGCATGGCAGGGCAGGGCTCTGAGAGGAAGGCTTGAACGAGGTGGGTACTGGGGTAGGGCCATGTGGCTGTGACGTCATCCAGCTGGGGAGACAAGGGGCAGGGGAGGGGAGGAGCAAGGAGAGCATCAGAGAAACAGAGCCTTCTGCAAGGAGTTGGGAGGAGTGTGCATGGGTTACCGTGACTTCTGGAGGGACTAGACATACGGAGGTTGTTACGAGGAGCTGGGAAGAATGCGTGGGCGGGAGGGTTACCGTGAAAGCAGCAAGTGCAGTGAACGCAGCAGCACGAGTCTGCCTCCATTCCCTCTCCCCTTCTCCCCCTCCTCCCCCTCCTCCTTCTATCAGCTCCCCCTCCCTCCCTTTCCTGGCAGCTTCCCACAGGCCCTCCATGATGCCACGTGTCGCGTTGGGATAGGCTGCGGCGTCGAGAGCAGCGGATTGCAGCAGGTGGCACCAACGGGCAGCCGTGATTGGATGCGCGGGCAGGGAGGGGTGTGATCGGGACACCACTTTCCACGCCGTAAAGAAATCTGAAGTGGTTGTTGATTGAGATGGGTTGAAGCGGGAGGGGCAGGGAGAGGAAGTGATGGGTTGGGATGGGGCGATGTGGGAAGCACAGGGCCAAAGGCAGCACACTTCCTCCCTCCCCCTCCCTGTCCACAAAATAGCGGATGGGCGAATCAGCAGCAGCATCACACTACCTCCCTCCCCCACATGCAACTTTGCGGGTAATGAGACGACTTTTGAAGCGCCTCAAAAGCCCTCCCCCACATGCAACTTTGCGGGTAATGAGACGACTTTTGAGGCGCCTCAAAAGCCCTCCCCCACATGCAACTTTGCGGGTAATGAGATGACTTTTGAGGCGCCTCAAAAGCCCTCCCCCACATGCAACTTTGCGGGTAATGAGACGACTTTTGAGGCGCCTCAAAAGTCCTCCACCACATGCAACTTTGCCAGACCTGCTTCTGTTCTGAAAGGACTCACCCACGGCGTCGGCAGCACAGAGAGAGCAGCAAGCGTGTCAAGGCTCAAGGCAGCAAAGAGCGAATGCGGTGACTCAATGCCTGCCTGCACTGAGAGCACCAGCCTCACTGCCCTGTCCGTGTCATGGTGAGACACACCTTGGATGAAGAAAACACTCACCCACGTTGTCGGCAGCACAGAGAGCAGCAAGGGCGTCAAGGCCCAAGGCAGCAACAAGCGGATGGGGTGACTCAATGCCTGCCTGCACTGAGAGCACCAGCCTCACTGCCCTGTCCGTGTCCGTGTCGACACACTCCCAGTATGCTCACCAGATCTATCCTCTGTTATGGAGCAAGGACTCACCCACAGCATCAGCAGCACAGAGAGCAGCAAGGGCGTCAAGACCAAAGGCAGCAACGAGAGGGCTTGGCGACTCGATAGCTGCCTGCACTGACAGCACCAGGCGCACACAACCTCCTCCCTCACTTGTACCTTCCAAGACCTGGTTCACATGTCTGGGGCAAGGACTCACCCACGGCATCAGCAGCACAGAGAGCAGCAAGGGCGTCCAAACCAAAGGCAGCAACGAGAGGGCTTGGAGACTCGATAGCTGCCTGCACTGACAGCACCAGACGCACTGCCCGGTCCGTATCGTGGCAACACACTCCTCGTATGCTTGCTGCTGCTGCCAGCACCATCACCTCTCCTCCCCCCACATCACCGCTAGCTGTGCTGCTGGTGCTGGTTATTCTTATGCTTTTGGGGAAGGAGAGGGAGGGCGGCAGCAGCAGTGGTTGCAGGGAGGGGAAGATGCGATCTGTGATGGACCAGGCTTGCTGCAGCAGCCGCAGAGCCGCAGATGCAAGGAGACTGGAGGAGGGGAAGGGAATGGACGGGGAGGGAGAGGGAGAGCAGGTTAAGAGGTTCAGCAGCGGCTGCAGGGAGGGGAAGATGCGGTCGGTGATGGCCCAGGCTTGCTGCAGCAGCCGCAGAGCCACTAATGCAAGGAGACTGGGGGGGAGGGGGAGCGGGAGGGGGAGGTGGAGGGGGAGGGGAAACGGAGACAGTGGGAGGGAGGGTGGCAGAGTGAGAGGAAAAAAAAGCTCAGAACACAAGGGCTCCAGGGTCCGTCAGGAAAAACGCAGAGGAAATGGAATTACGTACGGGCGGGACTTCTGGCCGGCAAGCTTTGTCAGGACCTGCACCACAGGACCAGCAGCCAGCCAGTGCCTCGCAAGGCTCGGCAGGACGCAGAGCACTTGAAGACAAGACTTGCCGCCTGCGTTACCGCTTCCCCTCCCCCCGCCTTCCTTCACCCCTCTCTCTCCCCCCACCTCTCCCTCCCCGCCCACCCCTTCTTGTGCCACGTGGCTCAAACTCCAGAGGACAGCTGGCAGCAGGGAGAGAGCCCAGATAGGCTCACAGGAGGCAAGGCGGGAGAGGGAGAGGAGGGAGGAGGAGCGGAGGGAGGGGGACGGGTGGAGGGTGGAGAGTGGGAGGAGGAGAGCTGCGAGTGAGAGGATCAGTGATTGACTCATGCCACTGCCTGCTGATGTTTCCCTCCCTGCCTTTCTCACTGTCTCTTTCCGGATCTGATTCAGCTGCTGCTGTAGCGCCAGAAGCCACCTATTAGAGCCTGACACGTGGCACCCATGCACCCCACCTGGTGCTCCTGCCAGCGTGCTTCTCCCGTCTGAAAGCGCCAGCGACTTTGCCACGTCAGCAAGCTCATCATCCACGTCTGCGCTTGGGGAGGACCCAGCGAGGTCATGCTGACGTGGCACAGGCTCATTTGCCCAGGTTTCCGGCGAGTGCCACGTGCCACGCTGCCGTTGGGCCGAGGCGATTGCGACTGGATAGCGAGAGGAAAATGTATGAGGCTGGGAGGAGGTGAGGCAGGTGAAGAGGTGGGCATACTGACGTGTGTGCCAGAGGTCTGCGTGTCTCCACTGCTGCTGCTGCTGCCGCATATGCCACAGCTGCTGCTGGTCTGATGCAGCATGCTTACTACTGGCAGATCCAGCAGAGGGTGACAGGGACGAGGAGAGGAGAGGCTGAGTGGCAGTGGCAGTAACAGTGAGGCAGGCATTCATAGCACGAGCTGCATCTTGCTTGAGGGCAGGCGATGGGAAGGAGAGGAGGTGGAGCAGCGGCAGCAGCAGCAGAGGAACCGTACTCTGTGTACCGCCACCACCACGTGTACCTTTGCGCCTAGACGATTCAGCGGCTTCAGCAGCAGCTCCCCGATTCAGCTTGGTAAGGGTGTGCCGTAGCACTGCGAGCACAGCGATGTGGTCTTGGTCTGTTGGTAACCCGCACAGCAGCAGGCGCAGCAACCCCACCACCTCCACTGCATCCCCTTCCCCTCCCCTCTGCTGCTCCGCTTCCTCCGACTCCCCCCTTTCTCTTCCCATCCTTCTCATTCCTCCGACGCCTCCCAGCTGTCCCACACCCATGCTGGAATCTTCCCCTTCTCTTCTCCCCACATCCTCCTTTTCACTCTCTCCCTCCTCTCTCTGACAGTCAATCCGCGCTCGCAGCAGAGAGGCCTTTTGAACGAGGAAGAGGCAGGAGGGCAGACCAGTAGCAGCAGAGGCAGCAGCAGTGGGAGCTGCAGCAGCAGCCCCAGCAGCAGCAGCAGAAGATGCACCAGCAGCGGTGGTGCCGGCGGCTTGCAGCTCAAGAGAGAGTGCGAGAGCACAGGCGGAGAGGCGGGTGGTGAGGGAGGGGAGCGAGTGTGGATGGTGGCTGTGGTGGGATTGGTGTGGTTGGTTGCTTTGGGGGATCTGGTGTTGGGTTTGTTGGGATTCAGTGGATGATGACGTGGCATAGGCTAGATCCATGAGCTCGCCTAAGCTTGCCAGCATGGACTCCCGATCCTGGCGTGTGGGATGGACACATGTGCACACACACATGCAAACACACACACGCACGCACGCACACACACATGCACGCACGCGCGCGCGCGCACACACACACACACACACAACACACACAGACACACAAGACAAAGCCCAAAGTTTCTTTCAACAAACACCAAGTTGCAATGGCGGATTGCAGAGCAGCTCATTCCAAAACGACGCACAGTCATGCTGTTGTTCCATCAATGTGCTTCACATCGCCAATCACACCGCCAATCACACCGCCACTCGCACTCCCACTCACACTCCCACTCACACTCACTCCCACTCACACTGACGCTCACACTCCCACTCACACCATCACTCACACCACCACTCACCGCTGCTGACGATAGCATGTGCCACGGAAGCAGCGACACCAGCAGCGCCGTGATTGGCTGGAACAGGTCTGCTGACGTGGCAGCCACGTGGACCAATCGCGTGTGGAGGGCGGCCTTGAAGCGGAGGCGGGAGGGCGGGGAGGGGGCGGGGAGGAGGGCTCGGCAGAGGAACGGGAGGAGGGAGGAGAAGAGAAGTGCCCTGTCGCTGCTGCTGCTGCTGCTGCTGCTGCTGCTGCTGCCGCTGCTGCTGCCACTGCTGGTGGTTATCGTGGTGGTGGTGCTGCTATTGCTAGTAGTGCGGTTTGACTTGGTAGTGGTGATGGGGGTGGTGGAGAGAGGAGGAGGGGAGAGGAGGAGGAGGGTGAGGTGGTGAAGCAGAGGCAGATGCGCCTCGTCCCGTGTCTCCAATAGCTGCTTGCCACGTCATCACGCATGGATGCACACACATAGGCATAGGCATAGCACATAACACATCATGAGCAAAGAGAACCCGGGAAGGAAGCGGGGCAGATGAATTGAGGTTTGCGACGTCTCAAAAGACCGGATGCCCAGGGCTAGTGTGCATGTTCATAGCGTCACCTTGACTCATTGTTCCAAGGGCTGCAGCACTTTTCAGCTACTGTTTCATTGTTCAACTACTACAGCCCTTCGAACAACGAGTCAAGGTGACCGGATACCCAGGGCTAGTGTGCGTGTTTATAGCACATGAATCACAAGCAGCAGCAGCAGAGGGTAGTAATCTAGTGTTCGAAAGCAGTCCCCAACCATGTGAAACCGTTTAACACGTCCCCATAAGCACGCTTGAATACACATGTGTGAAACGGGTTGTGCTACCCGGCCATTGCCTGCTATAAAACACTGATTTGTCTTCTTGCCCTCTACACTTACACGTGTGAAAGGGTGCGTGCCTCCCGTCCATCACCACTGGGATTTAAGACTTATAAACAAGAGATCAAGTGTATAGCACCATTGCACCTCCCCTAATAAACACGCTTACACGTGTGAAAGGGTGCGTGCCTCCCGTCCATCGCCACTGCACTTCCCGTCCTTGTCCTCCCCTTCTTCCACGCGAGAATCCGATTGCCCTTCTTCCATGGCTCAGTGAGCTGGTGTCCGATTGTCGTTGGCCTCCCCTTCTTCCCTCCTCCCCCCCACCCCCCCCCCTCCCTCACATCCCCCCCCTGCCGCCCCTCCCGTGAATCTGTGTCGCCACTTGCAGGCGCCACGTCACCCTTAGCACACGCCACGTCAGCCCTGACGCACGACACGTACATCCCCACCACCCCCCCGCACACACTCCCCACCACCTCCCCCCGCACTGCTGGCAGCGCCGCCAGCAAATGCGCCAGCGCTGGGGGACGGAATGGGGGGATTTGCAGGGGTAAAGGGGAGAGGGGGAGGGGGATGACAAGGGGGAGAGGGGGGGCGGTTGGAGGGAAGGGGAGGAAGAGGGGTAAAGGACAGAGGGTGATGATGTTGGGAAGGGAACATGGAAAAAGTGGATAGATTCTTTATTATTATTACAATGTGGAACGATAGTAGAGGTAAAATGCTAAAACTAGAGAGAATTTACCTTCCAAACTGCAAGGTACCTATTGCCTTCCACAAGGAAACCACCACGAACCTTCATCCGCCTTGCAGTGCCCTGATTGGACGAGCCCGCACAGCGCCGTTACGGATTGGTCCACCACGGCTGACGTGGCATGAGTCAGGCACGCCGTCAGCGCCTCGCGCGCGGGTGCGCAGGTTTGCGGCGCCGTGCTCGGCGCCTTGAATCGCGCGAAGATGGCGTCTACAGTGAATCGCCTCACTGACGGATGCGGCGCGTTCAAACGGTCCAAAAGCGGCGCGAAAATCTCCGCGGGCCGCGCCATGGCTCCTCAATCGAAGGCGCGATCCAGACCTTGATCCAGACCCAATTTAGGCTCCAATTCAGGCTGTACTGTAGGCTGGCAAAGCTTAGGACAGGCTTTAAATCTGGCTGTACGCGGGTTTTAACGAGGGACTCGACGGCTCGGAGGAGACAGCAGGCGTGCACTGAAGTGTCTCTGCGCCCTGTCCTATAGCTCTCTTATTCCACTACTTCACCATATTACTGCACTTACCCTACTACTTACAGGCAAACAGCCCAGCAAAATCCATGATCCATGTCACGCTGGGCTGGAACACTGATGATGAACACTGATCCTCTCATCGTCCTCGTTATTGAACTCGTCTATTCAGTGAACTGTATAACGAATTTCCGCTACAACCAGAATCCAGGTTTCGTGGCCTTCGCATTCAGGGCTGTTCACGAAGGCTTGTATTACAAATCACTCCCCTAGAAAGAGTTGGAACGACGCTGACAAGAACTCGCAAAGGTTCGGCAAGTATTGATGTAACTGATTTCATTGTCCGATGAACTTCCTCAAACGATTAATGCGAGATGCGTTGCAGTTACAGAATTCATCCGATTGGCGAAACACATTCTCCAAATACGCTCCCATACTCAGCGTCAGTGTGCAAATTCCCCTACAAATATTCAATTGCCCCATTTCAGTAGAGCAATCCAGCTCTTGCCACCGCGCATTGCGCCGCTCTTTCCGCAATGGCCACCCGCGCCCTCGCGTGTACGCGCTTTTCGTTGCAAGATTCACCTGTTTCCGTTAACAATGTGCTAAAAACGAGGGGTAGCGCCTCCATAAGCCGGTCGTTTTCCTCCTCCCCCGCATTTCGCCTTCCCCTACATCACGCAGCTTCCTGGAAATCACGCGCCTTGTCCTTCAACCAGGGAAAGCGTAGCACCTCGTCCATGAATGTACGGTCAGCGATCGACTTAGACCTGAATCAACGGCCAGAAATCCTCGTCGCGATCGAGGAGAGCTTATCGCGATGCCTCGTCCAATCAGATCTCGAGGGCGTGCCTGGGGTCGGGCCGAAGCAAGAGGGGAAGGTTCGGGACGTGTACACTGCCAAGCCTGCGGCAGGTTCGGCGGCGAGTAGCGACAGCAACAGCAACACGGACGAAGAACTGCTTGTGGTGGTAACCACAGATCGTCAAAGCGCGTTCGACCGGATTCTCGCGTCCGTACCGTTCAAAGGGCAGGTAAGTCACTTTAACGTGCGTAGCATTAACTGACTCCTGACTTTTTTAACATCACTTCCTTCTGAGGCGACTAGAAAGTCCTTCTCATGATGCAGCGTATGTGTTTTGAGAATTCTCAAAAAAATACGTTCTGAGGCAACTAGAAAAGTCCTTCACATGACCGTGCCTTTGGAATGGCAGGCAAGCCACATTGAAATGACTCGCCGACATTCTCACCGAAGTGTCTTTATTCTATCCCCTCTCTTTTCACTCGGTTGAGTTTACCTGTGTATCTGGCTTAAACCCTGAATCCTTGCTAAACCTGTCCAAGTGGCACAGCAGCAGCCACATGTTTCACCTAAACCCTTAGCTAAACCTCAGCAACCTCTTCGCTTTCATCAGGTGATTTTACAGGCGAATGCGTGGTGGCTAGGGCAGACAGCCCCATTGTCCCCAATCATATCCCCCCTTGTTTTTAGAATTCTAAAAAAAAACAGATTCGGCTTGGGCAGACAGCCCCGTTGTCCCCAATCATATCCCCCTTGTATCCCACCTCTTCCGTTCCCGCTCATCCCTCTCCCCTCCCCACTCCAACCTCCCCCCTCCGCCCTCCCCCTTGCCCCCTGTCCCCAGGTGCTGAATCAGACGAGTGCGTGGTGGTTCGAGCAGACAGCACCCATCGTACCCAACGCCTTCCTCTCCTCTCCTCACCTCGTCCCATGTCAGACGCCCGCTCACCCATCTCCCTCCCCTCTCTCACCCTCCTCCCCCCTCCCACCACCCTTCTCCTCAGGTGCTGAACCAGACCAGCGCGTGGTGGTTCGAGCAGACGGCACCCATCGTACCCAACGCCTTCCTCTCTTCGCCCGATCCCAACGTCACCATCTTCCGGAAATGCAAAGTCTTCCCCGTCGAGTTTGTCGGTGAGTGCGGCAGATGGTGAGTGAGAGGGAGATGGTGAGTGAGAGGGAGATGGTGAGTGAGAGGGAGATGGTGAGTGAGAGGGAGATGGTGAGTGAGAGGGAGATGGTGAGTGAGAGGGAGATGGTGAGTGAGAGGGAGATGGTGAGTGAGAGGGAGATGGTGAGTGAGAGGGAGATGGTGAGTGAGAGGGAGATGGTGAGTGAGAGGGAGATGGTGAGTGAGAGGGAGATGGTGAGTGAGAGGGAGATGGTGAGTGAGACAGTGCCTTTGCTTGCTGAGCTGAGTGCCTTCCTCTCCTTGTCCGACCCAACGTCACGCTCTTCCCTTTGCTGGGTACCTAAAATGCCAAGTCTTCCCGTGAAGAGAGACGTTGGGTCGGGCGTTGGGTGGAGTTCGTTGGTGCATGAGTACCAAGGGCGAGGTGGAAGAAGTTGAGTCTTGCAGACGGGATTTGGAGCTATATTGGTCACTGGTCATGAAGAAGAGCTGCAGCGTGACCCGTGGGATTTGCAGCTATATTGGAGTCACTTTTGAGAGTTCTCAATACTGAAGCTAAAGTTCCTGACTGCATTTTTTTTGTTGCTAGGTCTACTGTTGTCTGCAATGGTGCACTGCTGACTTTTTTGTCCTCTCAAACCCCCAATTATTCCCTCCCGCCTTGCCCCACTCACCCTCTTTGCCCCCTCAGTGCGTGGATACATCACCGGCACCACCAGTACGTCCCTGTGGACTGTGTACAACCAGGGAGCGTTCCCTTAGTCGGCTCAACACTCACTCATCTCCACTCTTTTCCTCCTCAACTCTTCCTTTTCGCACCTCTCTCCCACCCCCCGCGTCCCCCAGTGCGTGGATACATCACGGGCACCACCAGTACGTCCCTGTGGACCGTATACAGCGATGGGGCTCGGTCCTACTGCGGGAACGACCTGCCTGAAGGTGGGTGTGTGGGTGGGTGGGTGGGTGGGTGGGTGGGTGGGTGGGTGGGTGGGTGGGTGGGTGGGTGGGTGGGTGGGTGGGTGGGTGGGTGGGTGGGTGGGTGGGTGGGTGGGTGGGTGGGTGGGGAGGTTTGAAACGTATTGACAGGCACTCGAAGTACGTCCCTGTGGACCGTATACAACGATGGGGCTCGGTCCTACTGTGGGAACGACCTGCCTGAAGGTGGGTGTGTGGGGTGGGGGGGGCTGGGGGAGGTTGGGTTTATGAGACATCTTGACAGGCACTCGAAGCACCCTCGCTGTGGACCGGCTCAAGAACTAAAGGCACTCGATGGGTGACCATCTATCAGCAAACATACTCACCCCCACAACTAAAGCGGCGGCTCACGACGAGCCAGTCACCCCAGAGGAGATCGTCTCCCGCGGGCTTTTGAGTCGACTCAAAAGCAGACGAGCCAGTCACCCCAGAGGAGATCGTCTCCCGCGGGCTTTTGAGTCGACTCAAAAGCAGACGAGCCAGTCACCCCAGAGGAGATCGTCTCCCGCGGGCTTTTGAGTCGACTCAAAAGCAGACGAGCCAGTCACCCCAGAGGAGATCGTCTCCCGCGGGCTTTTGAGTCGACTCAAAAGCAGACGAGCCAGTCACCCCAGAGGAGATCCTCTCCCGCGGGCTTTTGAGTTGACTCAAAAGCAGACGAGCCAGTCACCCTAGAGGAGATCGTCTCCCGCGGGCTTTTGAGTCGACTCAAAAGCAGACGAGCCAGTCACCCCAGAGGAGATCGTCTCCCGCGGGCTTTTGAGTCGACTCAAAAGCAGACGAGCCAGTCACCCCAGAGGAGATCGTCTCCCGCGGGCTTTTGAGTCGACTCAAAAGCAGACGAGCCAGTCACCCCAGAGGAGATCGTCTCCCGCGGGCTTTTGAGTCGACTCAAAAGCAGACGAGCCAGTCACCCCAGAGGAGATCCTCTCCCGCGGGCTTTTGAGTCGACTCAAAAGTAGACGAGCCAGTCACCCCAGAGGAGATCGTCTCCCGCGGGCTTTTGAGTCGACTCAAAAGCAGACGAGCCAGTCACCCCAGAGGAGATCGTCTCCCGCGGGCTTTTGAGTCGACTCAAAAGCAGACGAGCCAGTCACCCCAGAGGAGATCGTCTCCCGCGGGCTTTTGAGTCGACTCAAAAGCAGACGAGCCAGTCACCCCAGAGGAGATCGTCTCCCGCAGGCTCATGATTCGGGAGGAGTTTGAGACAACCAGGGGGGTGCTACTGAAGCCCATTCTTGAGGCGCCTCAAGAGTACAAAATCCACCGCTCTCCATCTGTCCGTGTCACTCCCCACACACCCAGGTCTGTGCAAGAACGACCGCCTATCAGCCAACATTCTGACCCCCACCACCAAGGCAGCCGATCACGACGAGCCAGTCACACCAGAGGAGATCGTCTTGCGCGGGCTCATGACCCGGGAGGAGTTTGAGACCACCAGGGACTTGGCTCTAAAGCTGTTTGCTTTCGGGCAGCAGGTGGCGGGGGAGCACGGGCTGATTCTTGTGGATACGAAATACGAGTTTGGGAAGGATTCTGACGGCAACATTCGACTCATTGATGAGGTGAGGTGTCCTGACTTGACTGAAACCGTGAGGGCTTATGACCCGTGAGGAGTTCGAACTTACCAGGGACTTGGCGCTGAAGCTGTTTGCGTTCGGACAGCAGGTGGCAGGGCAGCATGGGCTCATTCTTGTGGATACAAAATACGAGTTTGGGAAGGATTTGGAGGGCAACATCCGAATAATAGATGAGGTGAGACAATCACCAACGTATGGTAGCCTGACTGACTGGTCTGAACACGATGGCTCATGACCCGGGAGGAGCTTGAGATGACCCGGGACTTGGCGGTGAAGCTGTTGGCATTTAGACAGCAGGTGGCGGGGGAGCAAGGGCTCATTCTGGTGGATACCAAGTACGAATTTGGGAAAGATTCAGATGGGAACATGTCACTGTAACATCTAGTCACCTCAGTCCCCGATTTCAGGAGTTACTGAATTCAAATCTAGACTTCCAGGTCCAGATGTCACATCCAGCTTTACCTTTACCCTCCTTCTTTTCCTTCGACCCTTCTCTGTTTATTTTCTCCCTCTCACCCCTTCCCGTCAGGTCCACTTGCACTGGAACTCCCCTTTGCTCCCCGCCTTCTCTCCCGTCTCACCCCCTCCCTCTCCCCCTCCCTCTCCCCCTCCCTCTCCCCCTCCCTCTCCCCCTCCCTCTCCCCCTCTCCCTTCGCCCCATCTCTCCCCGTCCACCCAGGTGCACACACCCGACTCCAGCCGCTATTGGATTGCATGCACATACGAGCAGAGGGGCTCCAATTGAGTCGCTATTGGATTGCATGCACATACGAGCAGAGGGGCTGCAATTGAGTCGCTATTGGATTGCATGCACATACGAGCAGAGGGGCTGCAATTGAGTCGCTATTGGATTGCATGCACATACGAGCAGAGGGGCTGCAATTGAGTCGCTATTGGATTGCATGCACATACGAGCAGAGGGGCTGCAATTGAGTCGCTATTGGATTGCATGCACATACGAGCAGAGGGGCTGCAATTGAGTCGCTATTGGATTGCATGCACATACGAGCAGAGGGGCTGCAATTGAGTCGCTATTGGATTGCATGCACATACGAGCAGAGGGGCTGCAATTGAGTCGCTATTGGATTGCATGCACATACGAGCAGAGGGGCTGCAATTGAGTCGCTATTGGATTGCATGCACATACGAGCAAAGGGGCTGCAATTGAGTCGCTATTGGATTGCATGCACATACGAGCAGAGGGGCTGCAATTGAGTCGCTATTGGATTGCATCCACATACGAGCAGAGGGGCTGCAATTGAGTCGCTATTGGATTGCATGCACATACGAGCAGAGGGGCTGCAATTGAGTCGCTATTGGATTGCATGCACATACGAGCAGAGGGGCTGCAATTGAGTCGCTATTGGATTGCATGCACATACGAGCAGAGGGGCTGCAATTGAGTCGCTATTGGATTGCATGCACATACGAGCAGAGGGGCTGCAATTGAGTCGCTATTGGATTGCATGCACATACGAGCAGAGGGGCTGCAATTGAGTCGCTATTGGATTGCATGCACATACGAGCAGAGGGGCTGCAATTGAGTCGCTATTGGATTGCATCCACATACGAGCAGAGGGGCTGCAATTGAGTCGCTATTGGATTGCATGCACATACGAGCAGAGGGGCTGCAATTGAGTCGCTATTGGATTGCATGCACATACGAGCAGAGGGGCTGCAATTGAGTCGCTATTGGATTGCATGCACATACGAGCAGAGGGGCTGCAATTGAGTCGCTATTGGATTGCATGCACATACGAGCAGAGGGGCTGCAATTGAGTCGCTATTGGATTGCATGCACATACGAGCAGAGGGCTGCAATTCAACCCTCTTTTCCTCCCTGTCTCTCCTTTTCCTTCCCCTGCTCTTCCCCTTCTAACTCTCTTGCCACCCAGGTGCACACACCCGACTCCAGCCGCTATTGGATCGCATCCACATACGAGCAGAGGCATGCAGAAGGGTTGGAGCCGCAGAATATAGACAAGGTGAGGAGGACGGATACCTTCACTTCATTGAGCTGCTTGTCTGCAATGCAAGCAGCACACGAGAGATCTCTGCAATAGAAACTCGTATGTGCATCATCATTGTTCCGTGTTCTCTGTTCCTCCAGCTTCTGTACTTCCCAATGCTCCGTAAGCCAGCCCCCGTCATCATCATCTCTCTCAGCGTTTGTCAATGCTCCTCCACTCCACGCCCTGTATTCACCACAGATTGCTTCTGACCTACCTGAGTGCTGCTTGCAGAAATTTCCCCAGCTTGCAGTGCTTCCTTCCTTCAGTGCTGGCCTGACACGAAGAGCCCAATTCCCATCGTCCCTCTCGTGTGCTGATTGCAGGAGTTTCTGCGGCTCTGGTTCCGGGAAAACTGCGACCCCTACAATGATAAGGTGGGTGCGACCCCTACAATGATAAGGTGGGTGCGACCCCCTGTAGCACTGCCGCATGGCAGGGTTCTGTAACACTGCCGGCATGACATTTGATGGCAAATCACTCGTGGTATTTCAATGCCACTGCACTACCAAAACAAGTTCTAGTGTGCTTGCTTGCACTCTTAACTGAAGGCTGATGTGCTTGCTTTGTGGCTTGCTTGTCTCTCCTCCTCCCTCCTCCTTCCCTGTTTCACCTCCCACCCGCTTCTTCCCATCTCTCCTCCCTAAATCTTATCCCTTCCCTTTCTCTTTGCGCTCTTCTGCCCCCAGACTCTCCCTGCAGCGCCCGCTCATCTCATTACGGAGCTATCTTGGCGGTAAGTTCCTCGCTGCTCCCACTGTTCTTTGCAGCGCCTTGAGAAATGTCTTTCTTTTAGGCGCCTCAAAAGTCTTTTAGGCGCCTCAAGGGTCCCCTATCTCATCACAGAGCTATCCTGGCGGTGAGTTTCTTGCTGCTCCCATTGTTCTTTGAAGCGCCTCATAACGTGTCTTTCTTTTAGGCGCCTCAAGCGGTCCCCCGTCTCATCACAGAGATGTCCTGGCGGTGAGTTCCTCATTGCTCCCACCATCCTTGTGCTAACCAAAAGGCACTCTGCAATAATTATTCATGCAAATGTCTAATGATATCTTTAAAGATTGTCCGACATGATTCCTCGCCCATTTCCCTCTGTACACTATCATGCCACCCGCAGCTGCATTGCACTGTACAAGGCAATCACTGGGCGGCGCTTCCACCTTTCCAGCTTCACGACTCCCTCACCAGGAATGATTTTCCATATCTTTCCCTCCCCGTGTCCCTCTGTATACCTCTCCATGCACCACCCTTCGACACGCAGTTACATTGCACTGTACGAGGCAATCACAGGGCGGCACTTCCATCTTCCTGGCGTTAAGGTTATTTTTGTTCTTCTCCTGTGATTCTATCCCATACCACCTTTCTTCCCCATGTCCCTACCACCCCTTTTCCAACCACAGCTACATTGCACTGTACGAGGCAATCACCGGGCGGCGCTTCCACCTTCCCGACGTCAAGGTGAGTTCTGCGCTTGTTAGGTATTTGCTTGCAGCTAATGATTGAGTCTTTCATATTCACCACATGCTTTGCAGCTAGATGCTGGAAAGCAATGCTTAAAGGCTGTGAGTTCCGCAATGCCTCAAACCTCGTTCTGTGATCCCGGTGCCAGTGTGTCTTACTACCTGCTTGTTCCACACCGTACTGTTCGGGCAATTTACATTCCGATCAACGGTGTAACATGTGCCTTGCAGGATGACATTTCAGAGAGAATAAAACGCAATGTGGCTGGCGCTCTGCAAAGCTTGTGAAATACTCTAACCCAGAAGAAGCCATTGCAGTCAGCAATGACCGTATCTCTGGCTTCATGTCACGAGTTGGCCTGTGCAAGTGCAAGGCTGGAGCGCACTGAATCCGGGTTGCCTATGTCTGGAATCATATATGGACCTTATCAAGGCTGTCTGCCTGTAGATTTGTATGAAATATTGCATACAGTCCACGCAGTACAGCTGGTGCCCGTTAATCTAGCACGGATACGGTAATCATCTACGCATGCCAACTGCTGTGCACATTCTTGAACACATGGGTGATGCGTCACACTAGAGGATATGCACTCTTGAATCTCTAAAGCCCAGTATGGTGACTATTTCCATGGGTTGCGTGTGGATTTCACGCTGCTGCTGCTGCTTCTGCTGGGTTGCCTTGGTACACCCCTGGGCGAGGTACATATTCACTGGACAATACTCTCTGCACAATTTGCTGACAATGCACAGTGAAGGGCTTTGCTGCTTGTTGAAAGTCTTGAAACAATGCCTTGACCAAGTCTGTCATCTGATGTCAATGATGCCCCTCAAAAACATGCATGCACCATAAAGACAATGCTGCTACAACATGCGCACACATACCGTACATAACTCTGCGCATACCACTAAAGACTCTGCTGCTGAACAGGCAGAGTCACGCGATACCTACCGCTCCGGTGCAGAGGCTATGCGCTGTGCTGGCTGGCATACACTGCGCTAGACTTATTTACGCTCCACAGCAATATTCCCTAGACTGTTGCTGACTCTGCTATTCACAATCGTAGTGCGTTCACAGCCCGGGCAGCAGCATTACTCAAGTCGTTGCTGCTGGGGTGCTGGTCCAGCAGTTCAACCACATAACACCGCTCTGGTGCAGAGGCTATGCGCTGTGCTGGCTGGCGTGCACTTCCCTAACCTCGTTCACTCTCCACCACAGCAATATTCACAGTCTCAATGCGTTCACAGCCTGAGCAGCAGCATCACTCAAGTCGTTGCTGCTGGGGTGCTGGTCCAGCAGTTTGGACACATAACACCGCTCCGGTGCAGAGGCTATGCGCTGCGCCGGGTCGTACATGTTCTCGTCCCTTAGTGTGTCCAGAATGGCTTCGCATGGGAGGTTACTGGGGGAGAGAAGGGGATGGGGCGGGGGGGGAGGAAACGGACAGAGGAAGACGTTGGTATGCGCTATGCCGGGTCATACATGTTCTCGTCCCTTAGTTTGTCCAGAATGGCTTTGCATGGGAGGTCACTGGAGCAAGGAGGGGATGGGGGGTGGGTGGGTGGGAGAGAGGGGAGCACGGGATACGTTTTTCAGGAGAGTCAAGACTGGCTATGTGCTGTGCCGGGTCATCCATGTTCTCATCCCTTAGTGTGTCCAGAATGGCTTCACACAGGAGGTCACAGGAAGATGGGTGTTGTGGGAGTGGAGGGAGGGGGGGTGGGTGGAGGGGGTTTAGACAAGCAGGGGTCATCCATGTTCTCATCCCTTGGCATGTCCAGAATGGCTTCACATGGGAGATCCCTGGGGAAGGGAGGGGGGTGCGGTGGGGGGTTGGGGGAAGTGGCTAATCACTGTGCTGGGTCGTACAAGTTCTCGTCCCTCAGGATCTCAGTTCTCGTTAGGGGTAAGAGAAGGCTAGGGGGGGGAGGGGTTGTAGGGGCAGAGCTACGCATGGTGCATGGTGTGTGGTGCGTGGTGGATGGTGCGTGGTGGATGGTGTGTGGTGGATGGTGCGTGGCGCGTGGAGCATGGGCGAATGCATGAGAGCTTACTTTAACACTCACTGCAAGTGCAGGATGTGGTAGAGCGTCTGCACAAGCACGCAAGTGCGCAAGTACGCGGCAGAGCTCTGAGACGTCTCGAAATTCCTAGTGTATGAGCGTGTGTCCCAACACTCACCGCACATGCAGGATGTGGTAGAGCGTCTGCGGGATAGGGCAGAGCTCGATAGGTGCCACAAGGTGCATGGAGGAATGCATAGAAGCATGACAGAGAGGGAACTCACCACACGTGCAGAATGTGGTAGAGCGTCTGCAGGATAGGGCAGAGCTCGATGGGCGCCACAAGCTCGTT